GTTATATTAAAGTATCATTTAAATACTTTTTCTATATAAAGTTGGTTGATTTAGTAATGAAAAATCATGCGTTAATAACATAAAAAGTTGTTCTAGTTTTTTTTTCTAAGGGAAATAAAACTTCTTGTTTAGGATGTATAGGTTATGAATGTAAGAATTTCTAATCAGATTGTGTAACCAACAGCAAAGGGTACTTAAACTAAACAAATTGCTAATCGACTCTGAAAGCTGTTAGGGCATAGTTGGTTACTGGGAATTAATCATGCTTAGACTCAACATAGTGTATTAATTTCAGCACTTAAGCGATATGTGAGAATAACTCAGCAATTAATTACTCTTCTCCAGATGGGATTACAACATATTATTATACGAAATGTTTATTGAAAAACAATTATTGCGCAGATTTATAATGCTCTGATTTGAGTGGAGATGAATATGATTCTGATTCTGCTTGCTAACAAGTAACCAGCTTTTGGATTAGCAAATAATACAGATTGCACTAAATTCTTAAAAGGCGCCTCTGGAATGACTTAAGTTCTTGTGTGAATGAGAATTCTGAATGTACTGCCTTTTTTGGCGCTTAATCATAATGCAGTAGATTTATTGGCAACAAAATACTCTGTTATTATGGCTTAAACATAAACAATATCAATTTTAAATGCAAAATTAAACATAGTGTTGATAATACTCAATCTGGATTACTGATAAACAATGTAAGGATTTCTTACAAGGTTGTGTATATCAAAAGAAACTACTTGTTAATTATTCAATGGTACATCTGAAACTTGCTCTAGAATGAGCAATTGTACCACGAGATTATGCTCTAATTATGTGGATTATTCTGTCAAATTAAAAGATTTTTAACTATACTAATCCTACAAATTATGAAGATCGTTATAAATATCACTCCCAGGTGTAGATTCTTAAACATTTTATCAGCTTATATTGATCAAACACTCTGTGGTAATTATGTTGCTTTAGGAAGTACTAATACTCAAAAAACGCTTATTGCAGAGACTTAAAAGAGGAATCTAATTTCATTTGCAGTTACAATCAGGAAGCAATGTAATTACATATTAGCCAAAATAGAGTGAATCTTATACACAAAGTAAAAGATACTATTTCATCAATAACTAATGTATTTCATCTGATAATTGTTCCACAATACATCAAACTAAACCAACAACAGATTCATCAAAGTTAACAATAAAAAATAATGCTCCTCCAATTAAATTAGAATTTAGAATTTTTCTCTATTTTAATTATCATTCTTCATTAAACTTTATTAAATGTTAAATTACAGTATATGTGAATAAGTAGTCTCAGTCACCAGCTCTGCAGATTTCAATAGATTGCTTTATTAAGACCCTAATATAATCAACAAAAGATGTATTTTTTATATTAATTAAGCATAATGCTCAGATAATGTTGCTATTGGAAATAATCATACAGAAAAATAATTATTTTGTTATGCTATGAAATTATATTCATCAGTTGGTAATATTAATACTCAAATTATTTAATGTTAAATTGAGAATGATGCTCCAATTGTTCATCAGCAACTTGTGAGAGTATTTCAAATGTCAGCAATTAAGCAGATTGTAACAAATAAGCATTAGATTGTGTTTATTTTTCAAGTAAATGTTTTACAAAATAAAATATATGCACATCTTATATCACAACCTCACTCACTTCTGACAAACCATTATTTTGTTCATTTATGAAGAATTCATCAGGAGAGCATTGTGGATACATTGATGGTATGAATAATTGTATTAATTCCTCTTCTGATTGTAAATTATTTAGATGGGCTGCTTATAATAGTAATCCTGCTCCTTCGCCTGTTCCATCAACTAACTCAAATAAAAGAACATATTGCTAATAACGAAGATCAACTCAAGGTAGATTATGTGGATATAATTACAATGATTCCTAATGTAGTTTAGAAACTAACTATTGTGAATTAATTCAATCTCCCACATCCTAAATGAGTTGCGATATTTAAGTAAAAGGATGCACTTATATATAATCAACTTCACTATGTGCCACAACTTCTAGATTAACTACTTGCAATGATATTACTTTTGATGTTTCAAGTTTATCTACTGACACTGATAAATTGAATTATTGTAAATCAGTTAAGAATTATAATGGTTATTGTACTTGGATATCTGGAAATGGATTTTGTGATGATTTGCCATCAGCATGTACATCAATTAATATAAGCGCTGTCACAAATGATAACGATAGAGCCACGTATTGTTTAAGTAGAGCTAGTAATGCAGGAAACTGTGCTTGGAGAATAGGAGATTCAAATAGTACTTGTAGAGCAATTTCTTGTTTTGATATCACTTATGCTCTAAATTAAGCTACCTGCGATAGTGTAATGTCTGGTTGTATCTATTATTAAAAATAATGTATAACTTATCAATCTACTTGTAATAAATATTATGCTTATGGGGCAAATGATGATTAGAAATTGTATTTTTGTTAAGGGTTAACTCAAACAACCAGCAATTATCAATGTACTTATATAATGGGAAGTTCATTTTGCACGGTTAAACTTAGCAGTTGTGCCTCTTATTCGGTGAGCACTTTGAGTGATGCTAACAAATTGACTTGGTGTTATTTTTTAAAAGATTTATCATCAAATATTTGCGCCTTTTAAACTGGAGATAGTACTTGTAAGCAGATTACTTGTGAATTAGTAATTACTCCATAATCATAAAGTGATTGTGATCTATATTTAACAGGATGCCAATTTTACAAAAGCTACTGCTATACAAAACCAACAACCTGCAGTTCTTATTCTATTCCTTCTACTATTACTGATAAAGTTGCATTCTGTACAAATCTTAAAAACACATCAAATTTATATTGTGGATATGTAAGTGGAAGTACATGTTCAGCTTAAGTTAATTGTACTTCAATTACTGCAGTTGGTTCAACTATTGCTGAAAAATAAACTTATTGCTAAGCAAGAAAATCTTAATTTGGATATGTTTGTGATTATTCTACTGGAAGTAATTGTTTCTAAATGGATACATCTCTGAGTTGCACCTCAGTCACAGGATCAATAATAAATCAAGATAGTTGTTAGTTTTTTTCAGCTAATTGTTCTTATTTGGATACAACCAAAAAATGTGATTTGAACTCGAATTTAAATACTTGTGATAAATATTAATTTAGTAGTACAATTGATGAGGATACAAAATTAATTTATTGCAGATCTGTTTTATNATGCACATCTCATATCACAACCTCACTCACTTACACAAATAAAGTAGTTGTTCATATTATCTAATTCCTTTAGGACTAACAAATGAGCAATTTTTTTTTTTTTTATTGCAAGAACATGCTTGATAGTTCATTATAGTGATGATTAATAAAAGAGAAACTATTGTAGAGAATACAAAAACTCAGATGGATAAATGTGTGGATATTCATCTAGATTGAATTGTGAAATTGAACACAATTATTGCAGTGTTATTATAAATTCATAATGTAGGGGAATATTGTGATTAGGAGCTGGATAATTGTGTCTATATTTAAAAGAATGGAAAATGTATTGAATCATATTTGGTTTAGGATTGTACTGCAATGCTATTCAATACTAGTTTATCAAAAAAAATCAAATCACTTATTGTTAATCCTATGAAAATAAGGATATAATTTTTAATGGGGAAGTGGAGATACATCCTCATTGTGTAGAAATTTCAAATTCTAAGATGTAGATATTGCTAAGAATTAATCTGATTGCGATTCTATCATATATGGATGTAGTTTCTACATTTATTCCCATTTCACTCCAGAAAATAATTGTGATAATTATTATGCTTTGTAGAGTGAGAGATCTATGTGCAATTATAACATTAATAGTATAAGTGATAAGGTAAATGCATGTTTAGGGATGTATGACTCAGCCGAAATCCAATGTATTTATGTCAAAGGAACTACTTATAATGTAGTTGATAAATGCGAAACTTTCACTAATTATCTAACTTGAGTAATTGTACAACTTTATTTGATAACGATAAAAAGACACTGTCTCCAAGGCACTTCATCTAGTCTTACTTTTACTTGTGAATATTTAAGCAATCCCTTGTCATTTAGTGATTGTGACACTTAATTGACTCTGATAATCTTAACTATTGCAAAGTTATCTATGGTTCTGAATAAACAACTGGGCCTTATTTATTATTATCTTGTTATTAAAATACAACAGCAAATTTAGATTCTGAATGTCAATCTTATTAAAATGGATGTTTGACCAGAGAAGTTGAATATACAATTTAATTCAAAAAAAACAAAAATAAAACTCATCTGATTTACAGTATTCCAAATACAGCAAAATGTGATGAGTATAGAGGAACAAGAGAACAATGCACTAAATTTGATGGTTAAGGAACTCAAACAATAACTGGAATTTGTTCTGAAGATTTTATGAATAGGGATAAAGATATTATCATACTATCTATACTGATTAATCTAAATGTAGATCAAGAATATGTTTTGATAATTTAATTGATAATGGTGATGCTTTATGTTCATATTTTAAATCTGGTTATGTAACAAATAGTTAAGGTTGCATTGATATTAATGCTAGTAGTAAATTAAATAATTTATAAATTTTTACTCAAATATATATATCAATTATTAATATTGTAAGTGAATTAGTAGCAGATAAAATTAATATGCATAAAAATAAATTAATTTTAGATACTACCTTTCAATTCAATTTTAATATCTGCGTATATATCTTTTAATTTTGTTGCCGATGTGAATATTAGCTTATATAAATTTAAGTTTACTCAAAATAAGTTATAATATATAGGACAACGAGTAGTTACATAGATTAATTATTATTAAAATAAAATTGTTATTAAATGAATGAGGCACATCTATTTTAATTAATTTTTAAGTTTGACCATCAGTCATTTATTTGGAGAAATGTCTTTTTTTTTTTACAATTTTATGGAATCAGACCACATTCTCAGAAATTTATAAACTTTTTCATTAATTGAATTATAAAAGGAACTAAGTGTTATATATAGAGATAAAAAGCAAGCCAACAAAGTTAAAATAGCAATAGTAGCAACATTATTACAAACAACTCGTATATGGGGTTTTTAGAAAATTAGATAAAGCCTATATTACAAAAATAGAATTATTCCTGAATTTTGAGACTGGAGAAAATAAGAATAAATTCAAAAAAATCTCATCACAGGAGCTAAGAAGATACACAACGAGAAGATCCTCTCAAAGCATAAACAAAAGCAATAATAGAAAGAATTCCAGACAGCTATGAGAAGGATGGAACCATGTTATAGTTCGTATGGGTCTAGAGGGCGTTACAGATTGGGATGGTGAAAAGTTATATAGGAAGGGAAACATTTTGTGGTGATAATAAGAGTTTTCTACAATAGTTTGATTTATAACTGTTGAGGCATTTGAATGTGAGGCCTGGGATTGATGTAGATTGCTTAGAGGAATTATCAGGAAAATTAAATTCTAAATTTCATTAGAATATACCAAGGATTCAAAAGCTGCAGAAGATGTCAGGACAAGAGCAAATCTTATGGATGATAAAAAAACATAAAACAATCTGGGCAACAAAAATGAAGGAGCAAAAAATACGAGATTTAGTTATTCATTAAATATTAAACATTTTATATTTACTATATAAAGTAACTAATTTAACTTTTGAATTAAATTAACTTTATACTATAAGTAGACAATTTTTATTGTTAAATAGATTTAATTGAATCCTAAATTACATAAATTATAGATAAAAAATATATGAATCAAAAATTAAGAAGACTTGTTAAGAATAGATGAATGGAGAATTAGTTTTTTCTTTTATTTTGGTTAATACAAAAAAAAAACCTTGCTTCTTTATAGCCATTTTAGTTTTTTATACATAGAATTGTCATAACAATTTGTGGAAAAGTGCCAACTTCTAAAAAATAACATTAAATAGTATTTCATAATATAATCAAAATCTTTAAAAATTTTTGATTTCTTTTTTTTTTTTTGATAGCAATCCTGATTGCTTTCTCAATCCCTTCTTGAATTTTTTGACATAACAAAACAGCCATGACCATAGGATTGTGCCAAGATCGCTTGCTATCTATGACAAATTATTAATACAAAATATAGTAAATTAAATAAATATTGCTTTAATTTTTCAATAACTATAATCAATCTTTCCTCGTTTTAAATCC